GTTCCCACTGCTTATAATTGTCCTGTTAAGAAGTGTCTACAGTATAATCTGAACTGTATTTTTGAAGGTACTAGGCCTGAATTCCTATTTCTGATACCAATAAGTTATCTAATCTTTCTAAATTTACCTCCCTTTCCTTAAACTCCATTACATGACTATATTCCATTCCACGAAATTCAGTGTCTTTATCCATGAATCCCTACTAAGCCCTACTATGCCAGGTGAAGAATTAAAAGTTAGTTCTGTAAGTGAAGTGGTTTTCATTTTAAGTATATTCTTAGTGTAATAATAGATCTTAAAGGTCATGATGTTTAGTCAGTCATAGATATGGTCTCTTATTTTCTCCTAGCCTTATACAATTTCTGTGATTATTTCTAGGGATAAACTCTCCCTGAGCCAGAATGCTGGAGAATTCTCTCATCAATTAACCCATTTTATTTCAGATGGTTCCTCGGGAAATAGCTGAAGTCTGTACCCCTACTCTCTTCATCTGTAGGTCCTGTTACTATCCATGAAAACGATTTTGAGTGTAAAATTATTCTTATAACTCTGATATTTGTAGATACTGTCTGTGTCACTTCTGAGACCTGCAGCTACAGGTAAATAATGCCAACCTTATGTGATGCACACCACGAGGAGAGACAATCCAAAGTGAGGGGGCAACCCTGAAATTAATTCATCAGGAGCCAGCTTCTTTCCATCTCTCTGCTGTGCCGTGTATACTGCTACTCATCATCATTACACCTGAGGTGGCCACACACAGACACTATTTCTGCCTGTGATATCTTTTTATAAGCCTTTATCCAAATAGCTCCAGCAATTCTCCATTCTTTATAAAAACATGAAGGCCATGTAGCAGTGATAGATGTCTTGCTCAGCTTGCACAAGGCCCTGAGTTCAATCTCTAGTACTGCAAAATAAAGAAATACCTTGGGAGAGAGGAGACTTGTAATAAGGGAATAGCCAAGTTCTGAATAGGGAGAAAAGCAATTTACTAACTAGGGGACATTTGAGGCATCATGTTCCTGATAAAAAATGAGAAAAATAAAGCAAGTATAGTTAGGAGCAAGCCTGCCCCCCCCGCAAAAAAAAAGTGGGATGATGCACCTATAAAATTCAGCTGTGAAGAGGACCTATAATAGTAAAACTGAAGGTTACATAGTTGAGTTAGTAAAAGTATATATATACTCTTCAAGTATATTTGGAGGGGTGGGGAGTCAGTAAAAGAATGTTGTCTTTAGGAGCAATTGGCAGAAATCAAAAGAAAAAACATGTCTTTTGAGATACAGAGAGAAATACTAACATACTCACACCCACCCTGACTTAGTCTGCTTTCTATTGTTGTGATTAAATATCACAACCAAAAGCAACTTGGAAAGAGTTTATTCCACCTTACAGCTTACAGTCTATCATGAAGGGAAGTCAGGACAGGAACTCAAGCAGAGGCCACAGAGAAATGGGGCTCACTGGCTTGATCCTCTTGGCTTGCTCCGTTTGCTTTCTTAAACACCTAGGCACCTGCCCAGGGATGGCACTGCCTACATCCACATCATTTATCAATCAGGAAAATGCCCCCAAAGCCCGTGTCCAGGCCAGTCTGATATAAGCAATTCCTCAATTGAAATCCCCTCTTCCTAGATACGGCTGGTTTGTGTCAAGTTAACAAAGACTAATCGACACACCTCCAAAGGAGGGCAAACCACCACACACACATAAAACCAAAGAAAATGAGATTCAAGAAAAGTTGAAACCAGATGCCTGTCTAATAATGTCTTTTGGGTGGCTCCTGTTCTTTGCACTATGTGCAAATGTGAGTTAGCTAAGTTTAAGATATGTTTACACAACGTTGCAGTGTAGGAAGATAGCTGAGTAGATGGGTGGAGGGCCTTTCTAGTATACCCATGGTTTTCAGTCAGAATGGGTCACACCTCGGTAGCAGCTTGATCATAAATATTGGAAGAACGTCATTAGAAATTAGGAATAGCTAGCTCCTTAAAGCAGTAACAGTTGTTATGACACCAGTGGCACTCTGTCTTCTCCCTTACACAGAACTCTCCCATATCCTGCTGTGTGACCTCAATCTCCATTTTGGTCAGCCCAAGAAGACTGAGAACCCCAAGGAAGCAGAAACAAGCCACCCATTTGAAGAGCCTGAGATACCAGATGTAGCCCTTGCTTCTATCAGTTTATCTGACTGAATTTTTTTGTATTTGTTTTAAATTTCTGGTTTTGTTGACTTAAAAATCTGGAAGAACTAAGTTTATTAGTATAACTTAAAACAATATAAAATTATAAATGAGCATAGCATCTGCTTGAAAGCTGTTTTTTGTTGTTTTTGTTTTATTTTTATTTTTTAATGTCTCAAAGGGAAACAGATTCCATTAATGCTGCAAGTCTGATGTCGGAAATTGACCTAGCTGTGCTTGCCGTGCTAGCCTTGTTCTCTCTGTGGTAGACAGACTTCCCCCATGTGCTGGCTAGAGGAGAGTAGTAGCGTAGCAGCAGACAGCTTTGCCTTTGGGGGGCCCTGAAAAGGACTGGTTTTCTGTTTCAGAGGGGTCCCTGAATGGCCTAACTTTTGTTAAGATGTTAATCCGTGAGCAGAGAGCTGAGCAGTGGAGATAGGTCCACCTGGGGTCGTAAGGCCCATGGCTCAGATAGGCAAGACTGGCAGAAGACTAGAATTGGAAGTACCCAAAGAAACACACGTTGTGCTCGTCCTGAAAACGTGAGGCTCCTGTGACTGCAGTCCCTGGAGTGTAACCCTTACCCTAAGAGACTCAAATACATTTCTCTGTCATCCACTGCTACTTTTCTTGTTTCTGTGAGCAAACACCTGGTAAAGAAGCAGCTTAAGGGAAGAAGGGTTGGTTTGGGCTTACACTTTGAGAAGCTAGGGTTGATCCTGACAGGGAGGGGAAAGTGGGCTGGGAGGCAGCTGGTCACACTGTATCCGCCATTATGAAGCAGAAAGACAGATGCTGTGCTCTGGGCACTCAGCCCACATTTAGGGCGGGTCTTCCCTCCTCGGCTGAACCCCTCTGGAAGCCTCCTCACAGACACACCCTTAAGTGACCCTAAAATTCAGTGAAGTTTTGGTTGTGAGCCTAGCCTTTCAGCACTCTGGAGGCAGAGGCAGGCGGATCTCTGTGAGTTCGAGGGCAGCGTACAGAGCAAGGTCCACGACAGGCACAGGCACCAAACCTACACAGAGAAACCCTGTCTCAAGAAAATAAAATAATCAGTTAAGTTGACAGATTTAATCATCATAGCTACCAATGCTTTGAGATCTACCGTGTCCTTAAATTTCATCACCTTTAGATGGAGAAATACCTGCAGTTTCCTGCTGCTCTCTCCCCAGGACCTACTCAGTGTTTTACACAGTATGGGTGCTGTAAATCCCTGTTGGACACCTGCTGAGGAAATGTAATTAAAATAGCGTTTTCAGCTTTAGCATTCCCTAGTTCTGGGTCCTAAATTTAGAACTCTGAGTTTGTGAGGATGAGGTTTTGTAGAGCATTATTGTCATTTGTTAAGCATTTCTGCATTCTACCTAGTCCTTAGCTTAGTGTATTAACCTGGTGACTTCTAAGGTCCCTTTTTTAACTCATGAAAATAAAAGTATAGACTATTCTTTTCCACTTGAAAATTTTGTAGATCAGAGAAATCAAAACATTTGTCAATAAACGTCACACAGTGATGCTGGAAGTCCTGAAGGAATGAGATTAGAAGAACAAGGCATGTCAGTGTTCAGTGAATACTAGGTTATGGCTTGCTAAACATGAACAGAACTGCAAATTCTCCTCAGCCTACACTGATGTCTTGATAAAGCTTACAGTGGCAAGGGGAAATACTGTGAACTGAAAATTTATTTACTGACAGTACCTATTGAACATCAGAGCGAGCTCAGCCTAGCCTGCCTTAAACATGCTCACATCATGCACTTTAGCCTGTGGTTAGGCAAAGTCACCTAACACAAACTCTGTTTTGTCTTAAAATGCTCAAGATATTATTAATTTATTGAATTTCCATACCCCCCCCCCAAAAAAGGAAAAAAAAACCCAAAACACTTGCAACATATAACACTGTAAAGTACTAGTTGGTACCCTGGTGGTCACATGGCTGACCAAGACTTTCATACCACCTGTTGCTAGCCCAGGAAAAGCAAAATTCACATTGGTATACAGTTTGTACTTAACAAGCATCACTCCCATGCCATATAGTAGAAAATGGTAAAGCAACATAAGTCAGAAACCCAACTGTATGCTTCATTAAGTGTGATTTATAAACTGAGAGAGAGTTGAGGTGCTGTGAATGATTTATAAGTCAGTCTGAGAAGGAAGAGACAGGAGTTTCACAGCACACTTGTGTTGATGACAGAAAAGCAGAGCTGAGGTTTGGATGGGTTTTCTCCAAAGGCCCCAGTGTTAGAGGCTTGGTCCAGAGCCAGGGCAACAGTCAGCAGTGGTGGGACCTTAGGAGGGAGAGCCCAGTGGGATGGAGTTAGGTCAGTAGGTGCATGCCCTTCAAGGAGATTACCGAATCTTCGTTTGCTTTTGCTTCCCAGCCACCATTTCAGTATCCTGTATGAACCATCACAGGCCCAAAGGAACAGGAACAAGTGACCATACTGAGCAGAAGTCAAACTTCCTAAGTGAAAGTCAGCTAATACAAGTTTTTTCTAGTAGGGAGGTGGGCTAGAAGTGTGTGTGTGTGTGTGTGTGTGTGTGTGTGTGTGTGTATATACAAAGCATTGCTCCATTGTCCCAGGAGATCTTCAACACTAGAGAATGCTTTTCAAGATGGGAGTGGAGGGGTACACTGTGGATGTAGATACGGGAGACTGTGGTAGAGAAGCAACACCCAGCGTATTTGGCAGCAAAGCTGCATCACTGAATCTGAAACCATTTTCTTACAGAATTTATAGCTTACATTTACTTTAAAACCAAAATATAACAGCATGGACTAAATAATGAAGTTGTTTTAGGGATCTGAAAGAGTAAAGCAAAAGATAACTTTAATCCCAGAAAGTTATCCCAACATGCATTTATCTCAAATAAAAAATACATGAAAATACTCCCTGCAAAACCAAATAAGAGAATGGGGTTATGTTTCTGGAGCCTCTTAAGTTATTGCTGCTCAGAAAGTTAATTTTAATTGTTTTAAGTGGTGTAAAAAACAAACAGGTTGCCTTGGACTGACAAAGTTTCATTATAAAACATATGAGATCAAAAACAATCAGTTTAGTACTTCTTAAACTTGCCCCACATTATTTCTGTAGTATGTAAAGTACTGTATTTTGAAACAGATTGTTCAAAATCTCATGTCTTGAGATGAAGTACTACATTGCACTCTTAGACTTCATATATGGGCATGATTACTTCTGTACTTTACAGACATCAAAGAAAATAAATAAATTATGGGATATTCAGCAATCTTCAAACACTTTTTAAAGGAAAGGGCAAAACTCTGTGCCCGCATTGAGGGTTTGCTTTAGTCCTAAGTGTTCATCCACTTCCTAAGGCCACTTGATCTTCCTGCATTGACAAGAGTCAGGAGACCGACTTGCTTGGCTAACTTGCTATGGACACCCCGCAGCGTATGTCAGCGTGCACTGGTATCTGGAGCCTCGGTTTTTCCCATCAATGAGCAACAGTGGCATTTTCCTGAAGTAGTCAATAATATCTGATACAGACAGAAAGTCCTGGAAAAGTCAAATAGGAAGATGAGTTAACATTGGAATGGACAGTGCACATTTCATAATTGTGTGGTTTTTTTTTTTCAGTTCGAATCAGTTTTGGAAAATTGTGGGAAAAATAAAATTTGTCAAGTACTTTAGAGATTTTCTCATAGTCAACAAATTTTTTTTTTCAGTCAACAAATTTTTTTTATTTTTTTTTTATTTTTTATTTTTTATTTTTTTGTTTTTTCAAGACAGGGTTTCTCTGTGTATCTTTGCACCTTTCCTGGTACTCGCTTTGGAGACCAGGCTGGCCTCGAACTCACAGAGATCCACCTGCCTCTGCCTCCCGAGTGCTGGGATTAAAAGCATGCGCCACCACCGCCCGGCTTCAGTCAACAAATTTTAAGTAAGAGATACCAATGTTAGGTTGGGCCAGCAAGATGACTCAATGGTTAGAGGCCTGATGACCTGCAGTCAATCCCCAGGAACCACATGGAGGGAGGAGAGAACTTAATGCCTACGAGTTGTCCTCTGATCTCCACACATGTGCCATGGTGCACACAAAAATACAAGTTTTTTTTTTTCTTTAGCCTCTGGAGTGGCTCACCCATTGCTTGGTATTGGTCTCTGGTTTTCATTTATGCTTGGGTTTCTATATCCCCACATCTCTACAATCCAAACTCTTAGGAGGTCTAAGGAACCAGGAGGTCAGATGGGGGTCATTTCTGGAAGTGAAGCTTTAGCATTTACCATTCCTTCCCTCTCACCTCCACACTCACAATGTGAGGGCTCAGTAGCCAAATCTTTGCATCTATAACCTAGAGCACTCAGTACAGTCGGTCCCACTCACCCCTCTAGATGTGACCAGAAGTTAAATTCTACCTAAACTGGATTGTGTAGTTGTTCCGAGACAAACTGTCCAGATACCTCCCTCCAAGGAAATACGTGTTTTCATGTCAGACCAAGAGAAATCTTGGGAGGTGATATTCTGCCTTTGGAGAGACTATACAGCTTTGTCGACAGGGAACAGGTGGCCTAAATATTTGAGCAAAATCATGTTCTTTATACTCAGCATTGTCATTGATTTAAAGTATTTGTATTAAAATTATTAGTGAATTGTTCTCATTCTGTTAATGTTTCATTCAGCTGGTTTTCTTTGTGTATGCAAAAGTAGCCTAATGGTTGTTTTCACACCAAAGAGTTGACTTGTCCAAACAGGAAAATTTCTTTGGTAATATGGCCATCTTCACAGAGCCAAATGTCTCAGTTAGCAATAAATGCCCCAAGCATCTCAATAATCACTGTAGCAATAATTCTAGGTTTCTCTGCTTTCTTATATGGGATTTCAAATTAAATTTTTTATTTTTTATTGATGTGTATATGTGTGCCTGCTTGTCTGTATGTGTACCATGTGCATGCAGGTGCCCATGGAGGCCAGAAGAGGGCATCAGAGTCCCTGGAACTGGAGTTACAGGAGGTTGTGAGCCAACCAATGTGGATCCCAGTCTTCTGCAAAAGTAGCAAGAACCCCAGTCCTCTGCAAAAGTAGCAAGTACTCAATTTTTAAGCCATCTCCCCAGCCCCTCTGATAGTATTTTAAATAAAGTTTTATAGGCAAACCATAATCTTATCTTGAAATTATGTCAAAAGAAATCAAAATAGATACTGCCTTTGACACTTTCTAAATGTATTTTTTTAATTTATTTATTTTTTTATTTTAAAAGTTACACTTCAGGACCAGAAACAGAGCTCTGTGTTAGCACCTGACTGATGTGTACAAGGCCCCAGGTTCAGTCCCAAGCACCACAAGTGGGTTATGTCTATGATATTGGATTATTTAGAATGAAAATACAAGAAGACCCCTCTAGTGGAGTAAATAACTCAGAGTGTTTGTCTTCTTTCCTTCAGTAAGTGGAGAGCTTCACTAACATTGTTTAACAGTATTGTTGTTATACTGCATGTGATTGAACAGCATCATTGCTATACAGCATGTGTTTTAACTGCATCATTGCTATACAGCATGCAGTTTAACTGCATCATTGCTATACAGCATGCAGTTTAACTGCATCATTGCTATACAGCATGTGTTTTAACTGTATCATTGCTATACAGCATGCAGTTTAACTGCATCATTGCTATACAGCATGCATTTTAACTGCATCATTGCTATACACCATGTGATTTAACTGCATGATGGCTATACAGCATGCAATTTAACTACATTGTTGCTATACACCATGTGTTTTAACTGCATGGTTGCTAGACAGCATGCGATTTAACTGCATAGTTGTTATATAGCATGTGATTTAACTGCATGGTTGCTATACAGTATAAAATTGGGGGAAAGAGTGAAGCATGAAGTCCTTACCTCTTTTCCTCGAAGTCCAGTCCCCAACAAGTATACTTGACTTTCCTCCTGGTAACGGATCTGAATGTTGTAAACTTTGTCTTTGTACAACACCATGAGGACATACGGATTGTTTACTGTTTTCTTAGAACTATCTCTAACCAGGAAAGTGCCGTCCTAGAAGAATAGGTGCTTGTTGTTAATGGGAGCAGTGAAAGTCAGTCCTTGTTGCTTGTAAGAGACAAGCCTCTAGGGACCTACAAAGCTGTCACTTGTCAATTCACATTGAGTTCTCTCCACAGCTGGGGACCCCAGGTACCCTGGATCTTTTGATTATTAAGAAAGACAACTGAGATTGCATCTGAAGTCTTCCAAGTTAACATATTTGGAGCTTTTTTATTGTTGTTGTTTGTTTTTGTTTTTGTTTGTGGAGACAGTGTTTCTCTGTGTAGCCCTGGCTGGCCTTGAACTCACAGAGATCTACCTGCCTCTGACTCCCGAGTGCTAGAATTAAAGGCATGTGCCACTACCACCTGCTTTTGAAACTCCTTAGTATACATTTTTTTCAGTAATAAAAACAATCAGTAGGTGAGTAAAGAGCCATAAGACATAAGGTAGCTCACTTACTTTACCTGCTCACGTCTGTTAATTGTCTAAACTTTCCTTTGTATATCTTTACTCAGAATACACTTTTTGCCTGTGAAATGCACCCTCTTTTACCCTACACATTTGTTGTATTTAGTTTTAACCCATCTCTCACCTGAACAAAAGAGAATGTGGACTTCCTGTATTCTTGTCACCCTTTTCCCCAATACTTTATAAAATGTGATTTGTTCTGTACTTTAAATTTTCATGCAAGAATTATTGCAATGTAATAAAACATGACAAAGATCTAATATTAAAATAGAGCTAATTAGCAAAACTAATGTAAATCACTCTCTCCTCCATGTACTTAATTAGAACGGGTTTTAAATAGCCATCAATATGCAATAACGATGTTCCTTTGTTCCTTTTATTCGTACTTAATTGACCCAGTCAGAACATATCTGGTAAAGAAACCTCTCTGGACCAGTGAGCCACAGACTTGGCTTGAATTCAGAGTCACCTGGGGAGTCTGAAGATTCCTTCAGCCCACCCTGCACTCCCACTTATTACAACAATCTCCCCAAAACTCACAAACCCAGATTTAAAAAAAAAACAAACAAAACCCCCAGATGTCCAAATCTGCTGCTGAGACTGAAAATGGTTGCTGTAGCCTTTACAGTGTGAAAGATGAAGGGTTGTTCTCCCATCTCTGATCGAGGGACTCAGGGCTAAGGGTCAGTACTGGGCCTGGGTTAAGACTTTAGCATTAACACTTCTAGAAATTTCTAGAAGACTTTGAAGATATGCCTTCAACATGGGTCTTTCCCGTGAACTTGAATGGTAACGGAGTGTTAAGAAGAAGATGAACTAGTAAGATGTCTGAAATGCTGCATGATTCCTTTGACCAAAAAGAGACACATTCATTAATGAAACTGTCTAATATTTGCCAACTGACGTATAGTGATGGCTTGGAGGAAACAGTCCATGGATGCTAGTGGGTAGGATGGTAGTACTAATGGCTCTTAAAGGAACAGCACCTAGCAGCAGGAACAGCAGCTAGCTCACACTTGAGTCCCAGTGCATATCTGTACCCTTTCCCTTCCTCCTCTAACATTTAGAACTGCATAAAATAAACTGGAGAGCGATACCTGGTTTATCTTCCTAAGAGCAGCTTCTGCCTCCGGTCGGGTAATATATGAGGCGTACCACTCTTCATCTAGTGAAGTCTGCAAAGAAATTTTAAAAAGCACTGTAAGTTCTGTAGTTACATAAGCAAAGTGACAAGAAATGAAAAGGAAAAAACCCTAATATTTCCCATAAATCACCACCTCAGTTCTCTGGGCTTTGAAACATTTGTTTTCTTGACTTGAATCACTTAGCTGGGGCTACATGGAAGGCATTTTGTGCAAACTGCTTCCTTATCATTTCACTGACTGCAAAAGGAAGGAGCCTCCCTTATATAATGGCAACTTTCATCTGGAAAGACAGAGATAGACGAACTTCTGCTTATTATATAGTAGTAACATACTTAATGAAAAATTTGTTTTAATGGAGCAGCTAGGAGACTTGCTTGTTCAAGGCTATAAACCGGGAAATAGATGAAAAAAATGGGATTATTTTTCTCATTTCCAATGCCCCTGGAAGACTGTGAAAGAACACTAAAGAAAACATTAGTTTTCATCTACATCTTCCCCTCAGTTTTTGGTTTATTGTGTGTGGTACTGTTAGTCTAGGGAAGGGCTTCACCCAATGCTAGGCAAAGGTTTGACCACTGAGCCACACAGCTGTGCTCTTAATTAAATGGCAATAAACAAAACTAACAGAAGACACAAATACAGCAGAGGAGCTGATGAGCATTTCTTATGGCCCCGTTGCTATGGGAGAATACGGTCCCTTGGCTAGGGAGAAAGACAAGAAATTAGAAACAGCTGTATTACCTCTTCATCCCCAGGAGATGGAGGCTGTGGCCTGTTTGGAACTGGCAAGGGTAAGTTTCTACCTTCATTTCTGAGAGGTGGTCTGTTGCTGGGACCTTTCAAAGCAAAATATTTTGAAAATTAATTTACTGTAGGTCATTGTTTTCTCATCTCATAGCGCATCCATCACAGATGTTCCCATGGCAATAGGGGCATTCATCTTTTCAAGGATATGAGGCTGTAGGGAGCCTGCATGGGCTGACCTAGGCCCTCTGCATATGTTACAGTTGTGTAGGTTGGCCCTCTTGTGGGACTCCTAACAGCAGGAGCAGGGGCTGTCTCTGAGTCTTTTACTGGTTTTTGGGACTCTATTCCTCATAGTAGGTCTTCTAGCCTTAATACATGGGGAGATGCTTAGTCTTACTGCAACTTGATATGCTGTGTTTTGTTGATATCCATTGGAGACCTGTCCTTTCCTAAACAGAAGTAGAGGAGGAATGGATTGGGGGGGAGGGGGCGGGAACAAAGGGACGGGGTGGGGGAGGGGCTGGGAGGAGAGGAGGGAGGGGAAACTGCAGCCAAGATGTAAAATATATAAATAAATTAATTTTTTAAGAAAGAAAATGAGGTTGGACAAATCATTTCTTCCTCTTTCAAACCACGAGGGCTCTTTGGCTGTGTTCCATACCATGGAGTGGAACTTTGAGAAAAGACCCCGACATTTCAGTAAACCCCTAAACATGCATACAACATAGTCTGGGCTCATCTATAAAAACAGCCACATTGTTTGACTATGGGCCTCAATAAGAACATGCAAAAAGCAGACCATTCATAGATGCCTGCCATCACAGCACACGTGGACCAACAATGTGTGCGCACACATGGCAGCAGTGAGGAGATATTCTGCCCTCGGTGTCTTCACAGAGCAAGAGGGAAGGCCTGGAGAAGAGTGTTGTTTTAGAGCCACTGTTGGCTGTGGTTTTTCAGTTTGTTTTGATTTTGCAGTCCCCCAAGATGGAGAACTGTTAGACTAGAGGGTGCCATCAATTGCTCACTTGCTTTAAAAATCAACCCAGTGCAGTCCTGTCTCACAGACCTTTGCTAGAACTAGACCAATAGCCTCAATGTCCAGTGGGAACTTGCTAGAAATGCAAAGTCTCGGGTGACACCCAGCCCTCCTGAATTAGATCCACTTGAACATGATTCCCAGGCGTCTGTACATACACCGAACATTGAGAACACTTACAGCAGACACTCAGTGGCAGAATCATTGGAAAAGGAAAGCCTCTGGACTCTCCCACTGAATCAGAAACTTTGGTTGTTTTTCTGAGGCATGAGCTCATGTAGCCCAGGTTGGCTGCAAACTTGCTCTTTAGCTTAAGATGATCTTACACTTTATTTATTTATTTAGTCTTAGACTCTTAATCCACCTCCCATGGTGGAAATTACAAGTTTGAGCCACCATATCTGGTTTGATTCAGAATCTCTGGGGCTGGGTTCTTGTAATCTATATTTTGAATATGCTTCCCAATTCACAACCTGAGGGCAGATTCATTGCTGAGACAAGGAAGCGAAGCACTGCTCTGAACTCTTTATCAAACCATCAGGGACATAGCACTGGGTGGGAAGATGAGGGATTAAGGCTTGCCTGCTGGTGGCGAGTGTGTGTGTGTGTGTGTGTGTGTGTGTGTGTGTGTGTGTGTGTGTGTGATTTTATGTAGTGTCTCATTCCAACAGCCCTTGGTACCTTGCAGACATTAAATTGTTAAGTGAAGAAGTCATATTCTTTTAGGGAAAAGCCTTCGCCTAAAGGCTTTGAGACACATTATGCTGTAACCATATGGACATGTTGGTAGGCAGAGATCGTAAACATGTACAAACCTTGAGAGAAGTATGGAGGCAGGGAGGCACTCTGCTGGAAGCCAATGTTACTATGGAAACAGAAAAGGAACAAGCTTTAAGCTGGTTGGCATGATGGGACCTGACTGGGGAGCTGGGCTGAAGACTGTAGATGCTTCTTGCTTTGTTCTTGCTGCCCACCACACCTCCCTGGCATCATGGAAGATGGAAGGGGGAACTTATGTGATGTACTTTACTGGTGTCTCAAGATGGACAAAGTCTAACAAGTTTCACAAGCCAAGACAAACAATAAAAAAAAAGCTCATAAACTAAATTTAAAAGTCACTTTTAAAATGGGGCTGTGGTTTGAGGTCTTTGAGTCTACAGAATGGCTAAGAAGGAAGACACACTAATCAGTGTGCATGCGAACAGTAAAACGCCAGGAGATACTGGTCTGCAGGGAGAGGGTGGGGAGAGGGGGAAAAAGTGCTGGGTGCTGCGGCATCTGAGATACATTTGCAAGGCTGGGATGGGAAAGAAAATCTGTGGAGGCCCTGGAATGCTATCTGTTCCTTCTTTTTTTTTTTTTTTTTTTTTTTTGTGTGTGTGTGTGTGTGTGTGTGTTTTTGTTTTTCGAGACAGGGTTTCTCTGTGTAGCTTTGCACCTTTTCCTGGAACTCACTTGGTAGCCCAGGCTGGCCTCGAACTCACAGAGATCCGCCTGGCTCTGCCTCCCGAGTGCTGGGCTTAAAGGCGTGCGCCACCACCGCCCGGCTATCTGTTCCTTCTATGCTACGATGCACTAACACCAGCCATTAGCCCACATAGTAAATGTCTGCTCTGCACACCCAATCTTCTTGGCAGTTTTCAAGAACAAAAGATGTGGTTAGAGCCATATGTGAGATAATGTGCCCAATTGGACATAGCAGTAGAGAAAGCCGGCAGGAGGAATGAACAGAAAGAAGGCGTGAAGACCTCGGGGCAAAGGGAAGGCTTAAGAATTTCCCCAGAGAGTTGGCAGAGGTGGATGGGTTGTGCTGGTGGTTCCATTTTCCACAGTATGTAGGGTGAGAAGTTGGGCTTCTTTTGAATACTAAAGGGTTGGTGGACCAGCAGGCCAGAGGCCCTGGGGAGCAGCTTGAGGCAATCCATTGGCTTGCCTGGGCAGGGATGATCTAGGTCTTGCTTGGTTCTCCTGGCCATGCCTCTGTTTCTGCATGGTCTTATTATGCCTGAGAAATTCTAGTTTTAGAGAAAACAATCCTTTTGAGGACAGCTCCCAAGCATGGGTGCTTAGCCCCTGTCATGTGCAAGGCACATTCTCTGTTTTGCCATCCAAGATGAAAGAGAGACTCAAGAACTCCAGTTAACTGTGTTTCTTAATGATGTTTGTTTGTTTGAAATTAGCAAGTGAAAACACCCACCGTTTTCTGTCAACATGTCCATACCTCGGGACAATCTTGAGACAAGTCAGCCTCCACTCCCCTCAAGCTCAGAAACTCCGAGAACAACTGGGCTTTCAGGTTGTCCACCAAACTCATTTCCCTTGCGAGGAAAGACAGTTCTGCCCAATGGCTCGTTTCTTTCTTGCTCAAGCTACCCGGCATTTACCACAATGCTAAGCTGAACTGGTTAGTTGTAACTGTTAAATGTGACCCAGCCTAAGATCTCCTGGGAAGACAGTTTCAACTGAGGAATTATCTAGATCACATTGGCCTGTGGGTGGATCTGTGGGGAATTGTCTTGATGGTTACTTGGGGTAGGAGGATCCAGTCCACCGGAAGTACACTATTTCATGGGCGAGGACCTGGACTGTATATGAATGAAGAAAGCCAGCCAGGGAAAAAGTTAGCAGGCAGATAGCATGGGTACATTCATCTCTCTGTGCTCTGGCCTGTGGATATGATGTGACTAGCTACTTGAGTTCCTGCCTCAGCTTTTCTGCAGTGTTGGACTAGAACCTTAGGTTGTAAAAGAAAACAAACCCTTTCTCTGCTATGTTGCTTTTTGTCAGAGAATTTGTCAAAGCGACAGACATGAAGCTAGAACACAAGCCCCAGACATTATGCTTAGTTAGAACTGAGTGACTCAGCCACCAACCTTTCTGAGAAGGCTCCCGGCATGTGAGACAATGGGAATGTGGGCTTGGAGCTGGGCTTGGCAGATCTTGAAGGGAATGTGTTGGAGCTCATAGAAGGTAGTGATGGCTGGGGCAAAGGTCTTTGATGCACTGTGGGGGAAGAAGAGAAAAATGAATAGTCAGAATTCAAATCTGGGGACATTCAGAGTACCTCCCCAGCTTAACCCAAACCCAAAGCCAAAACCAGGTGATACAGAGAGACAAAAATCCAAAAGTTCAGATGTAATTAGCCAATGGTAGGAAGATAACCTACCTCATTTTTTTTCTAGATAATTCACCACCTTGGAATGCACTTAAAATTGTTGTTGTTCTCTATAGTAGATTTTTCATTTGACTTTTGAACTACTTACTTGGCAGAAAATTGTTAATGGGAAACTTGTGAATTTCAGAGATGATTTACAATTTTTATTTTGTCATTTGCAAGCCAAAACCATATGCTATTTTTGTTTATCCACAGTTACTGGTTCTGTACGCGTGTATGAAGAGAGTATAAATATTAAAAACTTTTCTACTAAGACATATATGCAATTTTCTGCACAGTTGGGTATTCTGAACACATGAACCTAAGTTTCCCTTGGTAAACCAACCAAGTTATTCCATTTTACTACAGCCATGAGGTGTAGCAATTGATATATGTCTGTTGATGTTAATTTGACATGTAGGGTTCCATACTCAATAATTCTATTTAAATGGCTGATCAGAAAAAAAAATGAGAGAATAGAAGTTTTAAGAAATGATAATAGATTGTAAAAAAGATCTCTAGACATACCATCATCTTCATCCTGTAAGGGAAAAATAGTAAGAGATATTAACTTATCATCAAAGTAGCATCCATCAACACTAACCCTCTCTTTTGTGAGCTGTGGAGGTTTTCAAAGGAGAAGAGGCAGGTTGGAAACTTTTGTGTGAGACTTAGACTCTGCAGCATCTTCCTGACCCCTTCCTCCATTCCTGACCCTCAGTCTCCTTGCTATTACCCTTGGGAATGAGACTGCCAAGAAGCCAGCCGCCCAGGACCTCTCAGAGGGACGGGAGCAAGGCCATTCGGCCTGAGGAACTCAGCAAAGCTGCAGACACTGGTATTTAGCAGACTCTTTGGAGGTCTTGCTCTCAGTACCTGACTTCAGAGGAGGGCAGGGCAGATGGAGTCCCTCCTCCCCAGACCCTACACTGGCAGCCTCTGTGCGAAGCATTTATTAAATGACATTTCACACTTACAGTCTCTCTTCTGTCTGGTCCCCGTCCATGCCTGAAATGAATTAGAGCACGGCAGTGAGCATCAGGAGTTTCGAAGAGCCAGCCCCAGAAGATAATTTCAGTAAATTGCACAAGGAGAAATAAAACCCACTGAACCGTGGCCCAAGGGGAAGTTGCAAATGCCAGCAGAAATGCCGGGGAGAAGGAGAGAAGGGAAATTTGGCCACAGGATGCTCTGTTATCATTGTAAGCTGAGCTCGGCAAACCTTTGTTCTTCAGAGCTACTGTAGCAAATAATTACATAATTATACATATATATATATATATATATATATATATATATATATATATATATACGTTTAGTCAGCTTTTAGTAGCTATTAAATTTCACTGAGTAGATGTTTTTCCAAGCAAATAAAAACATTTTCAGTAATATTCTTCTTTGCTGAGGTTTTAAAGCAGACACCACAGGGTCTGCCCTTCAAGTAATAAGAAAACAGTTGGCAAAGGTCCCTGTTCTGGGCTTTTCACAATAGGCCATTGGCACAGAAGAACAAGCCAGTCCAAGAGCTTTGACAATACCTATCTAAGGGCTGCAGAGGCATCTGCACTTCCTGGGAGAGAGGGAAAGAAGTTAGGAAAGAGAAGAACAATTTGTTGAATAGCTAATGCCAGATGTTTCTCCTATCATCCTTCAGTTCTTCCCGTTTGGTTGAAAGTTTTGATATTTTAGCAATTATGATTGTTTTTCCTGTATTTTGGTTTTGTTAAATAATGCATTAAAATGTTATGGAAGTCAACGACAGAGGATTTTCCTGGCACACCCTAGCCCTAGTCCTGACTAAATCCACACAACAGTCAAGCCAGGGCGGTGGCTATGAATCTTGATAGACAGATGAGATAATGAACCTCACTGTGCCCTCCCCAAGTAGCCTGGCTGGCCCACAACAAACCCGGGTACACTTGTGTCATTTGGTAAGTAGACCATACATGATTTTATTAGAGCAGAGGTAAAGCTGCTAGAGCCAAGCTCAGTCTCCTGTGGTTGGGAAAGTGGTTGAGCAGTAAGAAAGAGACTAATGCTGGCCTAGAAACCCCCACCCAGTCCTTCCTCTCTGCTCCCTCATGACAAAAAGCGACAAATACAGCATCCGTGCTGTTCAGGCTTCAGTCTGACAAAGGTAGAGAAAACCCAACAAAAACGAGACCTGTTTCAGACAAGGGCTCCCACAGCAGCCACCCTGTACTCCCCACTAAGTACTTCTACTCGCTCCTCAACTCGATTCCATTCTCTTCACAGACCTCTGTACTTTTCATCTAAGCAGCAAGGAAAGGTGTCCTCGCCCTCCCAGTACTGGGAGTTCAAAGGCCCTCTGCAAGCGGAACAGGACAATTACTTTGGAACCGGTGGCTTCTTGGCTGTCAAGGGTCCACTCCTTTCATTCCTTTCGTGTCTGTCCATGGCTGGTGGTAAAGGAGGCTTTTGTATCTTGGGTAAATGCTCCCCGAGAGTCCTGCTGAGTGTACAGAGAAAGGATGTATTTGTAAGAAACCACTTTAACTGGGCAGAGAGCTGCAGGGAAACTCTGGGGCTTGACACAGTACAATAGAGGCTTACCTTCCCACGGGGGCTGAGGGCTGTAAGACATTAGAGAAGACATGTGAGGGTCCAGAACTTTCCAGAGAATAAGGACAAGACCAAAAAAAAAATCAAAATGAAAACTAAAACCACAAGCGAACAAGAAAAACAGCTTACCTTGTCAGAAAATGTTGGTTTTTTTCCTGGAAACGAGAGAGAGTAGAACATTCAATTGGGGACAAGTGTGAGGTTGAGAACAGATTCTGATGAACACTATGTCTGGGTCTCTGGGGAAGACTGACTTCAAGCTGGGACTTCAGATCTTGAAGGATCTTTTGCAGAGCACCTGATCTTCTTGGCTTAAAAATACTGCCTGGCTTGTCCAAGTCACACAGCTGTGTACATGCTAACGGGATGTGGGGGCCTGTGCTTCTTTTCATCCTGTGACTGAGTATAACTGAGCATCAAATGGATTGATGTCTTCTTGGGATTTTACTTTTCTTTCATTGCTTAAGCATCTGTTGTCTAGCCTATTTTGATTTTTGAAGTAAACCTGTGTGTCATGAAGGAGTAATTTTCCTCCAAACACTTGATATTATGTAAAGAACTCTATTTGGTTTCTGAAAAAATTAACTTGGGAACAAGGACTTTAAGAGATTGTCCTGGTGTACCAGAAACCAATGAATAGTGATGATGATGGCCATTGTGGTGATGGTCATGGTGATGATGGTGGTGGTGGTGGTCATGGTGGTGGTGGTCATGGTGGTGGTCATGGTGGTGGTGGTCATGGTGGGGATGGTCATGGTAGTGGTGGTGGTAGCAGTGACAGTGATTTTTGTTTGCTCACTTGTTTGATTTCTTTGAGAATAGATGGCATTGAGGCCAAGTATTTATACCCGAGGGCTCTTTAATGCCAAGTTATTCAAAACAACTTAGGTTATTGTATCTGAGACCCTGTGAGTTAGGTGGATCTTTTGATTTTCTATGTGATAAAAACATTATTAATGAGGTTCTAACAGATCTAGAAGCAGGCCTGATAGTACCTGAGTATGTTGGATCTCAGTTTCCATGGCTGTGAAGTCAGTGTAGGTTTTCTGTGAGGGTCAGGGACAGGATAGGTGGGTGCTGACAAATGCTGGCTAGCTCCTCTCTCTTCCCACCCTCCCATACTTAGCACCCTAAGGTGCATGCTGATGCTGTCCACTTGGAATCACATATTCACAGCATCACATAAGGTCTGAGTTCATGGTGGATCCAGGAAGGTCTAAGAAAATTGTCTACTTTGAATAACTCACTGGCCAAGGGGAGAGCATTCTCATGGCACACAAGAAGTTTAGGAAATATTTAGAGTTTGAGATTGAATACCTTCTTTAAAGGGGAACCCCAAAAGTAAATTAACTTTCTTTGGTCAGAGTAGGTTTTCCTTGTTCAGAAAGTATTTGAGTCATAAGAAACAAACAAACAAACCAAATAGCAATCTTTTAATATGCATATACTCTGGTCATGTTAGTTTTATGGTCAGAGTCTAAGCATTAGCAGAAGTGAGTTCCTCTGAAACATCTGGACAAGGATGCAATTCCAAAGTTAAACCTGTATCATCAGAAAATGCTATTTCTAAAATGTCTGCAAAAGTAGAAAAGTACTTAAAGGAGTAATTTGTGTGTCTGAAGATGAATGTGAAGTATTCCAATTTCCTGATGCCCTCGCTTGTGGTAGCGAGAAGGCTTAGAGTTCAGGTCAAGTCTATCTACTTTGTTGTTGTTGTTTTCTGAGACAGGGTTTCTCTTTGGAACAGCCCTGGCTGTCCTGGAACTCGCTCTGCAGACCAGGCTGGCCTTGAATTCACAGAGATCCACCTGGCTCTGCCTCCTGAGTGCTGGGATTAAAGGCATGTACCACCACCGCCTGGCTCCTTTTTATATAATGTGTACAGTTCTCTACAATGAACTCTTAACTCATTGGATAGCACAGCTCATGACAGTCTCATGACTCAGCAGAGCTAACATGTGCATCAGGGAAATAACCGCAAGCTGAAGCTTCCGATCCAAGATCTCAAAGTCGTTTGGCCAACCGAGGAGAACACTGTGGTCAAGAAAAGGCCAAGGCTTTGTTCAGAGTCCCTCTGGGGAAGAGAAAGGATGGAGCTGAGACCTGGATTCTATTTCTACTCAGTTTAGATTTTTCCTGCCAAGATCCACCCAGTCTTTAGCAGGTTCAAAGCCCAGATCCTCAGTGTCATGTGCTAGGATGCAAAAAAGCACCCACTTCAAAGTCCGAAAGACATGGTTTGAAAATCTTAACCCGTCTATGCAAATTGAGCACATCATTCAAACTCTTTGAACTTGTTTCCTCATCTAAGAGGTGGGGATGAAACAACCCCTCTTCATTGGCTTGACCTAAGGATATAAAGTGCTTGACCCATACTAGATGTTCAATATGGTAGCTAAATTTCAGAGTTGAATTAAAAAACAACTGTGTAAGGGTAGCTAGAATCAAGGTATCTGGAATTATAATTATGAGAAAAGTTCATAGTGTTTCATCAACTGCACACATCCATGGCAAAGGGCAATTTTGACATCAGACGGTACTTAGAATTTTAGAAAACACTTTCTCCTAAGAGAACATCCTCCTTACTGTGAGACTGTGCCCTAAGCAAAAAACACCCTCTGGGTCAGCAGCTGAGAAGCAGCAGCCCAAACAGCTGATACCCGCTCTCCCAGAGCTCTGCCTCTCAGCCCATTTCCTCCCTGGGTACCAGGATGCTTCCTTCTGTGTCTTGGCCAAAGTACACGCAGCTCATAGTCGTGGTGGAGCAGGCCCAGCCCAGGGACTAAGACCAGGGGATCTTAGGTCAGCTGACCTGGGTTTAGGTCTCTGTCGTCATCATGTGGGAGCTGAGTGATGTTGGGAGGTTACTGCTTTGTGCCTCAGTTTCTTTCTCTGTAAAATGAGGATGCTTCTCACAACAGCACAGTAGTAAAGTGATATGGTGTGTATAAAAAAAGTGCACTTAGCTCGCTATAAAAGTAGCCATTATTATCATGCATAAAATATGAGTAATACCAACCTAGTGTGAAGGGCTCTCGGTCAAGAGGCGCCAATGAGCGGTCGAGGGGAGGTTTTGTGCTTCTGTCTATTGATGGAGGAGGCACTGGAGTGGAAAAGGCTGAGGTCAGTTAAAAGAAGAAAGCTACCGGCTGGGGATGGGGTAGGTGGGCTGGTGGGCCGAAGGCAACCCTATGCTTACACTTTGCTGGTTTGTGGTTTCGATTTCTGCTGGGTTCTTCATGGGTGGGTTGGGGTGGAGACAGTGGCTGCGTGAAATTTAAAAACAAACAAACAAATGTTTGGAAGCTTTTCCACATACTTCAGCAAGACTTGGTGGCATTGTCTCCCCAAGTCTATCTGGACCTGCTCCCCTTTCTCCATCTTCAGGTGTCACCGGCAGCTTGCCATCCCCCGTCAGCTGAGCTGCCGAGGTCACCTCCTCTCTGAGCTTCCTCACGCTCTCATGCAAAGGGCTTTCTGCACAGCAAAGGAGCATGCAGAAACTCCTGCCAAGGCCTCCAGGGGCTCTAGGCACATCAGCAATGAAACCCAAGCCCCATGTGAAGTCCCTCATGAGATGCTCCTGCCCGCCTTTCCAGGGAATTTGTATGCTCTTCTCTGATGCTCACAGGATCCCTACATAAGGGCCTCCTTACAGCTCTCACAAAATCCAGAGCCCATACACACTCTTGAACATCTCTGTGGCTGTGTTTCCTCTGAGTGGGATGTTCTCTCCGCTTTCTGTCAGTTTGGTACCCATGGTCACGTTACCTGGTTTTCTGCCTTCCTAACTACATATGCAAACCATTTCTACATCTATTTACTTGTTTATCATCAAAACTTCATGAACGTCGGGGCATTCTGGGCTGCTCATACTCTTCCCCTGGCACAGAGAACACTGCTGTGTAGTAGCCGCCCAATCAATATCTGTTAACGTGATGGGCAAATTCTGCCTCCCAGTGGTGGAGGTGAAATTCTCCAGACTTCAAAAACAAAATGCCTGTGTAGACACATGGGGCTCCATGAAGCCCCTTTGCAAAAGTGCTATGCCAGCAGGAGGGGGCCGTCTATGAGAAGGAGGTCCTCACTACAGTGAGGACTCCATATTTGCCAGGGCCCTCCTCTCATCTGAATCTTCCCTTCTGGTCCTGACACTTGGACACTTGACACAGTTGTTAACGTGCCCTGGCCACTTGGGGAAAGAGCACATCGCCAGATACTGACTCCTTTAGCTTTGTGTGAGCTCCATAGGAGCTGGACTGAATGCTGAAAGGAGAGGAAATGGGGGGTTGCTACCACTGTTTCTCTCCCGCTTCACTGCATTGGAAATTTTGTTGCCTGAAGGCGGCGGCCATCCCTGAAGTTTCGGGATCTGGCCAGCAGGTGGCGCAATACTGCGTGCAGGAGGGAGGACTAGATTGGGAACCTAGGCAACAGCACGAGATGCCGAACCAGACTCAGTTCTCCCCCAGTTAAATAGATGAATATTGGAAGGCGAGTCCCTCATTAAACACACAGTTCATATTGTTTATGGTACCAAAAAATGCCAATAAACATTATGACATAAATAGAAACTGCTTATGTATCACCACAAAATCGGACCGCTGAGTGGAGCGTGCGGGTTTGCCTTTTCCCTGGCGTAACCGTTTCTTACAAACTTAGAATCAGGTAAAGATGTCTAGTTCCTTTTCTGTCTGCTAATGAAACAATTGCTGCGGATACAAAGTGGCCTGAAAGAAAGGGAGAAAGAAGGCTTACTGAGTGATTCCGGCCTGTCGGCAAGGGAGGGAGGGCGGCCATTGGTCTCTGCGGGGGCACCGGAGGCTGCTGGGAGACCTTGCTGGTGGGAGGCCGGTCTGTGGAAACACAATATTCAAGTGAGAGAAGAAATGAAAACTTGAAAGAGAGTGTTGTCTAAGTGCAGGGTTCTCTTGGAACATGCTATGCCGACCCATGCAGTTTGAGGTGCCAAGAACACCTGACCCTGGGCCCCCAGACCTCCACCAGCACCAGCATGAGTCCCAGCTACAGTCAGACCCGGCCTGGGTCCTACAGGAGGCGGGAAGTCCTTGATCCCTGTCTGCTCCACTTCCTGCTCAATTGGTTTGACTCTTCAAACAGGTGATATCTGAGACACTGCCAACCAAAAGGAATCCTCTACAGAATTACCCCAGTGAGTGTTTTCAGATACAATTCTACATGTGTGGGTGTACAAATGTATACATGCATGGACACATGAGCCTGCATGCATATATATGCACATAATGCGTGTATGTTCACAGGCATGTGCACACATGTGCACCTAGAAACACGTGTGTATGCTGACATTTATGCATGCACAGACACATGTGTGCATGCCTGCATGCATATGCTCACACTGCACATGAACTTGCTTATCAGTGTTACATTAGCTGCTACCCCTCACGGCCCCCTTGTTCTGTAGCTTCCTTCCCTTTACAAATGTTCTGGACTCACCCTCCTACTTCCTCCTTTTCCTGTCTCCTCCCTTAAAGGGAGGAGCTGGCCCCCAACTCTGTTGCCAAGTTAAATAGCACATGGTCTCACCTGAGACGCTCACATTACTCGAACTGCCACAGAACTGCTCAAGAGCAGCTTGATGAGTTTGGGGTTCTTACCCCTTTGGCTGGGAGAGGCCAGAGCAGAACTGTGAGGCATGAGCAGCAAGTGGCCAAGGGCCTCCCGGCATCTTGTGCTTTTCACTTTATCACACCTGCCGAAACCCTAACTGACTATGTTAGTTTTAGGAGGAGTGTGGAGGGAGTCTGGTACTTGGGGTTGAAAAAAATCCTGAGTGCTCTCCTGATCCACTCTTGTGTTAGCCCTAGGAGGAATGTCATTTTCCTTCTGGAAGGCATGGGCTCAGAGCGAGGGCAAGCCTGGTCTTCTCCACATCACGGGCCACCTTTTAGCTCCTCCGATATGTCATATTCCCTGGGACCTCAGGGCCTTTGCATGGCCATTTCAACTGCTTCAAATGTCCCTCCCTTACCCTACTCAGCCTCATTTAACCAACTCTAACTCTTTCTCAATAGTCTATTTAATATCAGACGAAGACTGTCACTCAAATGTCACATCCCGAGGGAGCAAACCCATTTATCATGGTGGCTAATGAAATAACACATGCAATTGTTTGGTGTGGCCTCACCCACTAGACTAAGAGTGCTGGAGGATGAGGTCTGTCTTGATCACTCTGTCTTTGTGACAGATACCGAGAAACACTCACCAACCTGGTTTCCCTTTTCTGCCCCACTCTCCCAAGTCTGAAACAGCTCTAATGATGGTTAAAGCTCCCTGCCTGTTGGCTTTAGTGTTCTCTCCTTCAATACACGAAGTGAGGTGATAGAGTGGAGTCTGAAGCAGACTACAACACAGCCCCCAGGGTTAGACACATCACTGCCTGACTGCAGAGGAAGCCAAGTGTGCCTTTGTTCATTTTTTGTCCCCTCCTCTATTAGAAAGTAATTCCCACAAGACAAATGTGCATCTCCCTTCCTGGTAGCTTCCAGCACATGCTGTCTGGCTCACAAGAGGAGATGAGTAACATTTGTGACTTCGTGAAATAATGAACGAGTGAACGAGGAAGGATATATGGGTAGAGAGAAACAGGCAGATGAGGAACATCCCCAAAACGGTCTCATTGTAAAGGCAGGACCAACCCCTCTGAATACCTTCACATTTATTGTGACAGTCTGCAAATGGCAGTGCCACACAGCTGCCCTCTTTCTGGCAAGCCTTTGTCCTCTCTTCTGTCATTAGCCTGAGGAAATGGCTAGAAGGGTAGATTCTTTGGTCTCAAGCCACCCAGTTTTTCAGAAGCTGAGCCAAAATCAGCACCCAGAGCAGCTCAATGGGCAGCTTGTCCCAGGGCTGCCAGGGCCAGCAGGCTGCAAAGAGGCTCTTACCGATGTACATGGAGTTGGTGTTGGGGAAAGGCTTGGCGGGCAGGATGGAGTTCTGCAGAGCCTCCTCGTCATTGGAGGGTGGAGGCTCATAGTCATCAACATCATTCACCAACACCTCTTCTTCCTCATTGGGGGACTCGTAGTCACCATCGTCCTCCCCTTCCGGATCATCGTCATTGGGACTTTCATAGTCATCTTCTTCCTGTGAACACAGGGGAGGAACAGCACAGTTTGTACAGATGTCACAGGGTGACGTTTTTACAGTGTGGATTCTGTGAGATCTCTGCCTAGGATCCCAGCATCCTCCGGGCAGATCTATCACAGAAGCAAACTATAAAGTATAGTGGCCTTGGGACAGGATTGAAGACTAACCTCCAGCTGAGCACAGGATGGCTTAAGACAAACCTCGGCAGGGATCCAGCTGCTGTGCTGAAGCACAGACTCATCTGAGGGAACCTATTCTCTTGTTTCTTTTGTACAAAATAAATTTGTTACATTCCTTTGTTTTTCCATAAAAAAATACTTTACCAAAACCCATTTTCTTTCAAATGAAATGCTTTCAGTTACTCGAATCCCAATAAGACAAGGGACACTCCCTCCATGAATGTTTTTTAAAGACCTAAAGAGACCAGAAAGACCGCTTAGACACCGGCTGGGCAGCCTGGCCCAAAGATCTGCCTCTCCCCAGCAAAGGCATTTGCACAGGCACACCCTCCAGCAGGCTTCCTTGCTTTCTTTTCTGTCACAGAGTTCTTAGCCCCCACCCGGCTTCGTGCATGGTGACAATGTGTAGTTTGAGGTGAGGGGGTGCACAATCCATCAGACTCTGAAAGGTGTTGTCAATGGGACCCTAACACTTCATTCTGGAACTCTTCCCTCTGTGTCCCCAATGGTGACTTAAGTCCACGAGAAGAAAAGTTAGAGTAGCATAGATTTCTAGGAAAGATAGAAGAGAGGGTGGGATTGCTATGAGGCTTGGTCAGAGTGAGCGATGGTGTGGCCAGCAAGTTACAGCCCCACCTCCATATTCTTCCAGGAAGCTCTCCTGTCACAACTGAGCTCACTCATTTGCTCACTGCCTGTGGCGGCTTCTATTCCACAGGAGCAGAGCTGGGGAGTAGAGGAGAAACCTCTGGGCTTCCAAAGCTGGAAATATTTACTGCCGGGCCCTTTCTGGGCCCTGAAATGGGATGTTTCAATGCCTTGTTGGTGGAGGGAGCTTGCTCCTTTGTCAGCATTATGACGATCAGTGTAAAGCCACTCTGGCCATCACTATAAAGGTGATTTGCCCCAAACCATACTCACAAAGGATGACCAGCCACCATTGTCTTCTTCATGGCTTTCTGTGAAAGAGATAACACCACCATCAGCACCCAACAGAGTCAGAGCAGATCTCCCTCCCAGTGTCCATCACAGGCCTTTTTCCTTCCCTCTACATGCTTCAGGGCCAGCAACTGTTATATTGAGTACAGTTTACCCTACCAGAACTCATGTTAAATCGTGATGTAATGGTTTTGAGAAGCCGTGGGATCCTTAAGAGATAATTAGGTCAAAGGGACCTCATGAATGGATCAATGTCTTTCTCCAGAGACTGACTTGGGTCTCTCCAGACTGGAATAGGTGTCACAGGAGTCATCTGGGCCTGGAGACTAGATTACTTGTTACAAATACACTCCCGGTATGTCGCTTCTACACATGCCTCTTACTAGTCGCATGTTTCCCCACATGATGCTATTCTATTTGTAATGAAGGTGAATTTAGCCAGAAGTTGATCTGTAGGCAGCACCATGCTCTTGGACCTCTAGAACTCTGAAATTAATAAATCTCTTTCCTTCATAAAGTAACCAGCTTTAGGAGCAGTATTATGGCAACAGAAAACATACTAAGAGAGCAACTTACTATTGGCCATATCGTTTCTATCTGAAGAGTTCATTATACCAGAGAGCAGCAGTGGTATCTAATCTTTCTTGTATGTATTATATAAAGTTACCCAGGGTTGCTTTCATAGAGTAAGACCTAGGACCTTATTCATGGGGTTTCTTAGTCAACAGGACTGGGTAGGGTCCAGGAACCCAACTCAAGATGTTTTGTGCAATTGAACAATGGAAAACTGCTTGAAAGACTCAGAAATGAGGTGCTCAGAGCTGAGTCTAGGCTCTCCCACAGAGCAAGTAGAGTTCTGCAGAGTACCTCTAGACTGGCATCCTTCCTCCTCTCAGTGGGAACCCAAACTCTTTTATGATGAAGACCTGGCTAGTCAGTTAATGAGTCGAGTCCCATGAAAGGTACTCAAGGAGGCCAGAACTGAAGCACGGTTCACCTCCTAACGCAGCTGCCTCTCAGCCCCGGTACCTTTACCTGTCTCCTCCGGAAATCGCTGAACCTGGGTTCTGCAAAGGCAAACAACAGCATCAATGGCCTGTCCACCTAATGGCATCTCCTTTCCTCAGTCCAGCCCTCTGCACCAATGGGGATTTTATCTCCCTGCCCAAGACTTGTCCCCTCATCGCTTGGCAACCAGAGTTGAGCTGTCCCTCAGTTTTTGGAGTCCACTAAAGCCACACTGGTGTCACAGCCTGTGACTCTTTAACAATCTAGGGAATGTTCCCCTGATGTCCTGGACCCAGGGGCAAAATGTTCATCGGGGACAGGGAACTCCCTTCCCTTCTTAGACACTCTCTTCATGACCCCTGGGACAGAGGGGACCACCACAGGTGAAGCAGTAGGGGCAAAACCCATGCTACAGATTCTTTTAAAGGCACATCTTGGGATTTTAATTCTTGAGTTCCGTTGTAGTGGTGGCTAGGCTGAAGCTGCCTACTCACTTGCGTGTAAAAATGCTTCTTCTCTCTTCATTCTTGTTGATATCTTGACTTAATTTACTGAGAAGCCTGCAAGAGAAAGACACACATGAAGAGACAAAACAGTCCCCTGCTAGCCTCCACCTCCCCGCTGCTCTCTGACCCACATGACCTCCAAGCAGTAGGCTAAACTTGGCCAATCTTTTTGTGTCCATCCTTTTCCCAAGCCAGCCTCACACCTTCAGCTCCGTTTCTTGCTCCCACCTGGCTAGACCTTGTCCCCTCTTTCCCCAGGACCTGACCCAGTACCAACCACTTCTTCTGCTCCCATGAAGCTTTCCATCACTAGCGGACCTACATCTACTGAGTCTTCAAAATCTGGCTCTGAGCTCTCCTTAAAAACCGGTCAGTTTACACCTGCCTCCTCCCTGCTCTGAAGGTCTGGGGCCCTAGGGTCTGCACCCTGGAGCTGTATCACTTACTGATCTGTCATTCGTACACTGTGGTCCCTTGAGCCTTGGTTGATATTGCTCACGCGTGTGATCGAACCACACGCTAGACCCAGAGACCCATGTGTATTTCTTATCACAACCTCCAGTGGGCTGTCACTCATCCTGTCATCTCCCTGAATTGTTCCTCTTTGCATCTGCTTAGTGACATAGCATGATGGTCGATCTTGCTTATGTGATATGGTATGGGATAACCCATCTTCCTTAGCAGTTTGATTGGATTGAGAGACACCTAAGAGATTAGAACATCACACTTCCCAGTGTGTCTGTGAACATGTTTCCAGAGATGATCCGACCAGGAGTGCTCTGACTTAAGTGGCAGTTTGACTCATTTGAGGCAGGACAGAAAAATGGGTAAATGATGGAGACATAGGAGAGGAGCCCCTCACCCAGGATCTATCTACTCAGAGACTCTCTCCACCTTAAAGTCAAGAACTCCAGCACAGTTAACAACATTTACGGCAAAAGCTGTGCATTTTATATAGCGATATTTTAATAAGAATATAAAATAGCAACAAATCATGCTTAAGACCTATGTGTACATGACCTTTCTCCTATCCCAGCTAAAAACCTATAGTTTTCTAGGAATCTTACTAGACTCCACTGGCAGTGAAGGACATGTCTTCACCCCTTTGCACAATCTTGTGGCTCATAGTTTATTTTTATAATATTCTAATCCCATGGAGCCAACCTATAATCTCCCTTATCAAAAGAGAGTGGTATCTGCTCTCTGCTGTAACTTGTATGAAACCAAGTGGACTATATGGGGACTGCTAAGACACTTGAGGCTGCTGTCCTTGAAGAAGCCCATGCCCACCTCCTCTGTGTAGCTTCTTCTCCCTCTGGGGGTGTCTCCTTCTAGGAACCCCTGTGTTTAAATCTATGTCAAACATTCTTTTCATTTTTTAACTCTGCTCTGCTTCACACTGGCTCATCCTGAATTTCTTTTCTCCAGTGAAGTCAAAGATGGATTTCACCTGAATGGAGGTCCCTGAAGGATAAGGGGACTTTTCAGGACACTGGGGGCTGTCGTGGTTTGTGTCTCGAGCTGCGCAGGCACGGACACATTTATGTATTTGGATTTTGAGTAGACTGTTGGTAGGAAGTGGAACTACAGAAGTGAGGCCTGCAGGGTTGGAAGATGCTGGTTTCTAGAGGCTGGTACCCGAAGAGCATCTTAGACCTAGTGTTTTCTCCTGACTCTTTCTGCATTCTGGCTACCATGAAGTGAATGGATGGCTCTGCTCTTCCACACCCTTCCATGCTGACTCTCTGCCTCACCAGCAGGCCCAGAAGCCATAGAGCCAAAAAGCATGCTCTAAACCTCTAAAACTATGAGCCAAAACAAACCTTCCTTTCAGTTGTCTTACTCGGGTTTTCTGTCACAGTGATGAACAACTAAATCTCCCACATGGATTTTTCTTTTTTTTTTTCTTTGTAAAGATTTATTTATTTATTTGATGCATATGAGTGCTCTATCTGCATGTACAACTTTATGCCAGAAGAGGGCATCAGATCCCACTACAGATGGTTGTGAGCCACCATGTGGTTGCTGGGAACTGAACTTGGAACCTCTGGAAGAGCAGCCAGTGTTCTTAACCACTGAGCCATCTCTCCAGCCCTGTCACATGGATTTTTATAGAAACTTAGAAAAGCATCCCCAATAAAGGTACAGCTTGCAGAGGGAGAGACTCTTGAATCATCCAACCCCTGAGGCCAAATTCTGGTCAAAATAACTGACTATACCGTATGCTCAGGTACATCCATACAGAACCAGCAAGTCCCTGAAACCCAGCACGGGGAAAGTCTTGGCTCCCAGGGCTGTATCTCAAGCAGGCCCAAGCAATCCTCAAAACCCCCAAACACAAGACTCCACACTGCAGATTCCAGCAGGGCCCTCCCTGGCAAGCAGACTCGGTGCTCTTTGGAGATTATGTGACTGAAGGAACTTCAGAGATCATCCCAATCATATTTTGCAGGAGGTGGCGGAGGTTCAGACAAAAGAAGGGATATTGTAGATTAATGATGAGGGCCACCTGTCTCCACAACACACACAACAGCACAACAAAGTCACCCTCTCTAGTTTCCAACTCAGCACCCCTTCAGAGTCCCACAACCTTGTGCAAGTCTCCCTGTGCTGTCTTCTTCCTGGGCACTCCTGAGCCTCTTCCTAGCTGTGAAAGTGATGTTCAATCTGTGTCTCTTTTGCTGATTGGCAGCTCATGGGGACAGGTTGGTCTAGTACAAACTTGTTAGATTAGCAAAGACAGTCCTTAACAACCCTAACATTTTTCTCCTTCTTCACTCCCAGGGGCTTTCAGTACCCTCCTATCTCATCCAAGTGACAGGGCAGATAAATTTGAGGAGCCTAGAAACTCAGGAGTACAGACAAATAAGGCAATGATAAGTCCTCCATAATAATGTCATTGTTGGAACTTTAGACTTCAATCACCAGAGGTTCTCAACCTGTAGGTCATGACCCCTTCGGGAGGTCAAATGATCTTTTCACGGGGGTGGCATATCAGAGATATCCTGCATATCAGACATTTACATTACAATTCTTAACAGCAGCAACATTGCAGTTATGCAGTAGCAACAAAAATAATTTTATGGTTGGGGTCACCACAACACAAGGAACTATATTAAAGGGTCAAAGCATTAGGAAGATGAGAACCACTGTTCTAGAGGGAGAGGTGCTTTAAAATGCCGGGGTGGGGTGGGAAGCACTTCCTAATTCTTTCTAAGCACAGCATCAGGATGTTTGTGACATGACTATTGTCACATGCGACCAGGCAGTGGTTGTTTAAAACAGATAGCAGGCATGATGAAGGTCTCTTACAGGATGGTCAGAGTAGAGTGTGTCCTGCGTCCTGCCAGGGTAGGTGCTGACAGCTACAGCAGTCACTCCTCTCCTGTCACCTGCTTATTTAAGAACACGCATTAAGGGCCTTCTAAGGGCCAGCAACTCCGCTGGGCACTCAATACCAAAAGTAACTCTGCTCTTGAACTTGATGGGTTGTGGAGAGAAGCAGACAAGGGGGCTGGGGAGATGGTTCAGTCAGTGTTTGCCACAAAGTGTGGGGACCTGAGGTATAAGTTCAATTGATCCCCACCACCCACATCAAAGCTAGGGACGGTACTGTGCATTTGTGATCCCAACACTGGGGAGGCAAAGACAGGCAGACCCCTGGGGTTCACTGGGTAGCCAGCTGAGGCCCCAAATCACAATGAAAGACCCTGTTCTAACAAAACAAGGTGGATTGCTCTTGAGGAATGAAAACTGAAGTTAACCTCTTGTCTTCACACACGCACATGATCACGTGCACAAGAGCACACACACACACACACACACACACACACACACACACACATCTACATGCATATGCATACACACAAAAGTGAGAAAAAAAGCAATAACGTGAGTGTGTGTGTGTGTGTGTGTGAGAGAGAGAGAGAGAGAGAGAGAGAGAGAGAGAGAGAGAGAGAGAGAGAGAGAGAGAAAGAGAGAGTAATAATGAATGTTTATTTGAGACAGGGTCCCACTGTGTAGTCCAGGCTGGCCTGAAATTTGAAATCTTCCTGTTTCAGTCTCCTGAGGGGTGAAATTAAAGGTGCATGCTATCACCTAGATAACGATTAATACTTAAGGAAGTAATATTCAAAGTAAGAAGGTACTATGTATGTTCATGTGATGGTGGTGGGAGCTTGGACAGGAGGACAGTGAGGTTACAATTTAAAACTACCAGTGCTCAGCAGTTAGGTACCATTTCAGTGAGGGCCTGAGGAAGGTGGAGCTGAGCCAGCACTCAATGCTCCCATCCCACAGAGCTTGGCTGGACTTTAACGGACTCCCACATGCTTTGACTCTTAAAAATGTCTCCCACTCAGGGCTGTGACATTTCTCACCAGTACCTCTAACAGCCAGGCTGGGGCTGCTGGGGCTCTAGCTGGAAAGGAAGGAAATGCTAAACCGCAGGCCCCACACAGAGCAGCAAAGAGCTGAGAGAGGCCTGGATGCCTCAGGCTGTCTGCAGACAGCAAAGCTTGGCCTCCCAGAGTCCTGCTGTTGAGGAGAGGGCTTCTGAGAACTCTTCCAAGTTGGTGGGACCCCTACCAGGGGCAGACTGTTGGCTGCAGGAGGGCGGTGAAGAGGCTGCTACCATTGCACAGACCTACAAAGTTGCACCCCACCCCCAGTGGATCAAGTGACAGTGAATGGCAGAGATGACTCACTGTCACTCTCCCCACAAACCCCCAACCCTCTCTTCCCAACCAGGGAAGGAGGAAGAGAAGGCTAGGCATCCACACAGGAGTTTATTCTGCTTCCCCTCATCTGAGGGTGGTGCTGGCCCTGGGAAGGGACTGAACCTCTAAAGGGAAGTCAAGCCATTGCAGGAGGGTGGCATCACATAATGGCTTAGCTCCCAGCCCCAAAGCATCTCTAACTTGCTGTGTGACAGAGCCAGTCATCACCATCACATGCTCAGATCTTTCCCAAGGATGCACAAGGAACAGAAACTGCAAGCGTGACCTTGTGACCGTAATGTCCCTCCCCAAGGCCAGCACCCTGTTTGTCTTCAG